AAGATATCATTGGTAACGAGGGAAAAAAGGGAAAACTATGGACAGCAGCGAGTTAATATTCACTGTATATACACAAAGAGCATCCTGTAAAAATAATAGAATGGTCTAGTTACATTTTCTTTCGGACGATGAAGTTAAACTCAAATAAAACAAAGATTTTGAAAATGACAGTAATGGCGAAATCAATCAGTCTCGAAGAGAAAACTCAACTTACAAGTTTAGAGATGAAACACTAATTGAAAGCAGTTGGTGCCTGAGAAACGAGGGAAAATACTTGGTGTCTGTTTGAAAGAAGAATAGTCACTCACGAAACGTCATCAAAAGATACCTATCCCATTCATCATCTACTACAAAATCATCCATGGAAACAAGCAAGCGGATCACCTCACCGTGCACATAAATAACATTTCACAGATAACAACAGGATTACTGAAAACACCTGGAATTGTTGTGACTCATTAATCGATAAATTCCCTTCAAACCATACTATGCAGACCACAGTTCTCAACAGGCAGGGGATAAAAATTAAATCTTGTTTACAAAGTTAACTGCAGAAACCATGATCAGCACTACATTGCACGAAGTAATCACTCTCTTTGCCCACGTTTAAATGAATGTCTGTTGGCAATTAAGCGTCACGATGTTGCATAGCTCATATCAATCCGCGTGGACAACTGTGGACGTGAACTCGACTTTGTAAATGTAAAAAGAGATATTGGACAGTGGAAACACAAAGAATATCAGAGAATTTCTGCAGGTCTGTCCTTCAGGTCAATCAGCAACAAACAGATGTATAAACGTAGCTCCAAACTGTCGAACAATACGACTACAAGGTCAGAAGTTACGCAAGGAAACAGCCAACAGGAAAATCTACACAGTCAGTCAGTCAGTCAGTCAGTCCGTCAATGACACAACAATCAAGAGAAACAACCAATCACAATCCACTTAGTCAGAACACGCTGCTAAACCACTCACTCAGAACACCGACAGCTCACTCCACACTCAAGATAGTGCAGCTGGTGATGTTGTCTAGAAAGACAATGGAGGCTTCACAATTAAACCACACAGCTGTGAGAAAGCAACACAACCAATACCAACCACTCAGCCTCATTGTGAAGCGCAAGCTATTCAGCTGAAAATGATACCATCCAGTAAAACAGTGTGCTTCTTCTACATTAAAACCGAGTCAAGTGAATTGTAATCAGATATCAGGTAGAACTAAAATTTAGTCACGGGAAACCATGATGACGACTAATCAGGTTGTAGATGCTGCACTCAAGGTGATTTGTTACATCCGTTCTCCATGTTGTTGATGTTGCACAAACTTTTGATGAATTATGACGAAGATTATGTTGATGGTGGCTTTCAGAGAGTTGGGTTGCTTGCAAGAAGTGAAAATTGGGAATGTGGCCGTTTAGTGTATTGTGTAGCTAACGAAGAGAAAGATGGTTGCCTCTTTCGTTGTCGCATCTGTTACGCGAAGAAAGCATTGAGAAGAGAGTTGTTTTCCGAAGGACCTCATCTAACTTTCTAACAAGTAATGCTTTAAGCAGCACATTGGGTTTCTGGAACGGCTGTAATATTAGCAGCACCTCCGATAGATGTTGGTGAAGTTTTCTGTGTGCAGTAGTATCAGCACTCCAGAGATATTTACACAGGTTGGATATGAAGTTTGGTGGAGTAGGTGATGTGGTTGAAATAGATGAATGTCTTGTTCGTAAAATTGAATCATCAATCATGTTCATTCATCTGTTAGTTTTACTCTTGAATTCCCGTCGACATGTGAAATTTCCCTGCTATATGTCCATCTGCTAAGACCTGATGCATCCTATCACAGGTCCATCTGCCACTGACGTAAATGGAACGAACAGTCGATGAATTTCTCAGTTCCGTCACCATTAGCATTGAAAGGGAATCTATCTACGACTGTCGTCACAAGAATGTGTGGAAGTAAGGTGCGTTGGATAGGGAATTTGAATTTTAGTGAAAAGTTCTGTTTCACAGTGGATATCTAACGTCATCCATTAATGAGTATACGAAGAGTAGGCTTGACGCCCAAGCTAAGTGAAAATACTTGGCAGGTAATTGTGACTGAATGCCAAGTTTAGGGGTGATGCAGTTATTTGGTCAGATTCTATAAGGTCGACTGTCGAAAGTAGTTCGAGAAACACTCCTTATTGTATCTGTATTGCTGACTTCCTGTACATACGCCGTTACTCGTCGAGACGTCAATCCTAAGGTCTCGTTGTTGGCAATATCCGTGTGTGTATGTGTATTTACTTGCTTCTGTATGTGTGCCATACCACCACCAGTAGGACACCGTCAAGGTGTGATCACCGGCACCTATCGGTATGACTGTCGGAAGGAGAATGCGGGTAAGTGTGCAGTTCTATTTGGTAGTTTAACTCGTTCAATGTTGCAAAATAAGAAGTTGAGAACAAGCCATTCAAGGGGACTTCGATTACACTGTATCTGCACAGAAGAAGCTCCACCTAATCAAAAATACAGTCATCAACTCCATGCACATGAGTGGTTTATTCAGTCGCCTTTGTTAGCACGGCCTAAGCACAACAAATATCTTAATTTCGCTCAATGATTTTCTCTCAACTCTATCTCCACTCCATTTGTTCGAGCTTCGTTTTACAGGTTCGAGTCCTTCGTTTCCTCTGATACATAATATTCCTGTCCCCGAACTGCATCTTTGTGAAAGCAATCCACTTGTGTATTCTGTACATGACATTATGCTTGCATTTTTTTCATTTAATATAAGGCTGCCTTGCTAACTTCCACAGGATGTTGTCATTCGTCTTCCGATTTAGAGAGTTCAGCACGTCTACTCACTAACTGGTATTAACTTTTGTGTGACGCATTTTGGCTTTCTGCATGATATATCCAAACTACTACTCAACTTTACACAGTTCTTATGAGAATTTACTTGAATAGGTCACTTTATTGTCCGTCTTTCTAAAATCTTTTTAGGGGGTGAATGTTTTTATCCAATGTGGTATTTCTACTAATTACATGCAGAAATGCATAACGAGGGACTCGGCAATGTGGTGATCAAGTACTGTGGAAATTATGGATGCAGTTATTCTTTTTAATGAGTTAGATTCAATGGAGTTAGACTGAAATCGGTGGACCATTTTAGTGACCTTCTTGTTGGCGAGTGATTGGTTAGGTCTACTTTTCCTTCAATAAAACAACAACCCTTATAGAAATTGCAAGTCAGGGCTTCTGATGTTTCTTTTGATTTTTCTGGGACCATGGAATCTTTCTAGTCTTTGTTTGTGTGCTGATACTGAACATGTTTTGAATAAAGTAAAATAATTCTAAATTTAGGTCTCTTCATCTTTAAGTTCTTGGCTGAAAACTGACTAGTCTGTAGATTGTGAGTGATCTTGTCGAACACCTGGAATGCTCACCGAGTCTATTATAGGATCGAAAAATTATTAACAAACTCAAAAAGTGTAGTTTTTACGAATAACCTTTACAGTAAAACAGTTTTTCTCCACGTTATTTTTAATGTTGTTTGGTCTATCTACAATTGGTAACCAAATCAAACAACATATTACTATCTACTTGACAAAGTAGTGCTGATTTTGACTCCGCATAGTTGGTAATTGATAATAGAGAACATCTCCTGTTGTATGTTGTTAAACAGGATAAGCCGATGTATACGTCTCGTCTTCAGTCCCACATTATATGGCCATAAAAAACTTATACATACACACTCTACTCAAACTCACGTAACTGTGTAAGTGTTTATGGAGAGTTGACACGTGAACTGACGACTATCAGTGGTGCTCACGACGAATGTCTACTGTCCCCGTTTGCGTTTCACTTCGTTACAGATATCTAGAGGAATATAAGCTTAGACAGTTTTAACTTCATAGGGATAGACTTACTCCTTGGGGGGCACCTTGGTTGACTTGGAGTATACAGATGACTTTGTTCTGTTGGAGAAAGACGCTAGCAAGGTGGAGGGTCCAATGAACGCCTTGGGTAGACATCTGTGTATGCTTAATGTGGATTCTTAACCTGTATAATCTTAGATGATTTTTCAGTACTGGTCTTTAGCAACTGCCGGTTTAATGATAGTGAGTGAAGTGGTTGAATTAGTCGATGACTTCACTAACCTGGGAGGTTGCATGAGCGTGAACGGTCTGATTACTAAAGAAGTCTCGGCTTGGATGCAGAAAGCCTGCTAGGCATTTTCCAACTTGCGTCATCTCTAAGACCAGTGAGATATCTGGCAACCTGTTAAAGGACAAGTATACTTTACTGCAGTTTGCTCTGTCCTGCCCATATTGGTGTGAGACAATGCTTTTGAAAGCAGAAAATGGAAGAGATTACAGGTTTTCGAACATCAATGTCTTCGTAGCATTGCTCACGTATGATCGTGTGAGCAATGTTAAGTTTAGGCGAAGAGTACGGGGCAAGGTGGACAAGTCAAATGATGAGGTCGTGAACCTACAGTAGCAAAGATGACTGAACATCTTGTGCTCATGCTGAACATTGCCTGCCTCAACCTGTAATGTTAACCGAAGATGGACTGGGTAAGAAGAAGGCTCAGAGTAACCAAACCAAGGTTTGACATCAGCATATGAAGTCTCTGACTGTTGATGGGAACTTTGTAAGGAGGTGCAGATTTTCATGGCTGAGTTTATCAAGGCGATAGGAGTCTATGGTTGCAGGCGCCTGGTAAAATGGCTAACAATCTGCCACAATGATTCAGAGGTATTCACTCTGTGACGCCTTGTAACGCTTAAACATTTCAATAACCTTGATTCTGAAATATTTTTCTTCCCGTATACTTTCATCAACTTCAATACTACTCTTTCTCTACCCACTTGTTCTTTGCATGCTACCGTGAAGTGTGGCAACTTGAATCTATAATGATGATTTTTCCTGTCTATTATTTAGACGAAGTAATATAGATCTATTGTATTACATATTTAGCACTTGAAATCTGGTGGAAAAATATTTCCATTTTCTATCCACAAGTCAGGGTAAGACTGACTATCAAAACACTTTCAGTAAAGAAAATAATCACAGTTCGAAAATCAGAGGGGGATCCATCCAAATCCACATAGGACGAGGCATTACGGCGTAACGGTCCGAATTGCCACAGTTCATATCAGCACATCAAGTTAAGAGGCAGTGAACTGGAAGATGAAGATCAGAAAATTCAGTCAGAAGTATACAGTACGAAAAGAAAGGATGAAATGGTGAGGTTCTGCATAGCGTTAAGATATGTGTACATTCGCGCCTCTGACATCGGACATTAACCGGGTAGTCTGCATCGCCCGAAATGACTCAAACCAACGGTCAAGAACTTTATACACTGATGCGATGTTTTAGTCTTGCCGCATTGGACCTTTATCCACCCAGAACCTACTTCAGTTAACACCATGTGACGGGGCAGACGGCGACTGGGAATACACAAAGCGTGTCTCAACCATCCCAATTGATGAAGAGGGATGGGCTGGCACGCGATGCCTTCATGTTACCTTAGACTGTAAAGGTTCAACACTCCGTTGACCGGTTGGCTAAGTACTATACATGTAGCCACGATACCGTTTATTGCGATCACAACAACCTTTACAAACTTATCAAACATTAGAAAGCTCGAATAAAACAATTAACACAGTTATTGAGAACATTTAAGCATAGCAGCTCAAAATTTACGCGCAAAATCAATGAAATTTAGACATACTTTCTGAAATATAGTCTTAGCCAGCAGACTTAGGTCGTCGGACGTTGATATGTTGAGCTTCTTGATATCGTTCATGGTTTCAGAGATATTATTGTCTGACACACGATTAAGGATAATATTAAGTTCCCGAGATATGTCTTTTGAAGTTTCTGTTTCATCACTTGCACCCTGATTACGCAGCTTAGATGGCACAAATGCCCCTTCCACGCGTTTCACAGTGATAGTCTTATATAACTTAATCACTTTATTCCTTGGAGCGTGATTTGACCGTGAACGAACCATCTAAGGATAAAAATTAACTAAAGCAACACATACCCTCATAGCATTTGCAAACTGGTTCATAATTTCCTATGGAGCGACTATGTTTAAGAAATTCAGGCTTACCTGATGTTTCGCTGGAGTGATCTGGAGCCCGTAACCTTGCGGCTAAGAACGAAATCACGTGAGTACCTATTTCTTCCCACGATCTCTTCTTCTTCTCCCTCCTCCTCTTCAGCATCATCGAAGTCAGTAGGAATTTCTTGTGACGAGATTTCTTCCGATGGTTTAGTGTGTTCCAGCACTTCCACGTGCGTATCTTCCGAGACACAACTCTCCTTTGGTACAGAATCCTCAGATACCACTGACTCCACTCTTAATGTGCCTTCATCCTTAGGTTCAGCACAAGAAAGCTTTTCATCTCCAACCTTAGTTTCGGGAGGCGGTGACTCATCAGCTTTGGGTTGGATGATTTGCAAGGGTTGTCTTTTACGTTGTTCTGTTGGTGACTTCGAAGCTTCTTCTAGATTAAGTGCCGATTTAGTCTTAGGATCGATAACAGGTAGTGGACACTTCTTCCTAGTTGGGGCGGGTGGGACTGAAGCTCCAGTTTGGTGCGCGCCTGTTTGGTTAGGAATTGACGCTACAGAAGGGACAAGAGGACTAAAGTTGAATGAGTGCTGGTACTGTACGCAGTCAGGATGTGCTGTCATACTCATGTGTTCATGCTGTTGCACCTCCGGAAACGTCATAGGTTAATAAAATATGGAGTTACACTACAAAATAACGGTGAAACCTGTTCCATATTGCGGAAAGGATAGAATGAATTGGCAGCTGCATGTATTCCTACATTTTCTAACGAAATATAAATAAAATGGCATACATACCTAGGCGTGAGCCGGGCTGGGGCTGTAAAAACAAGAGACATTTAAACCAATTTGCATTAAGGAAACAAAACTCAACAAACAAGAACAAAACTATCTTACAAGCCTAAAGCACTCAACAGAACCGAGTGGGTTCATTGGTTTCAAAAATACCTGACGTTAGTGTGGACAATACATTCAGTTACAAAACCACGGAATCAACTTACGAAGTAAGGCATCGCCTACAGATAAAAGTTAAGAAACGTGATTAGACCTACCATGTGTTGCGCGTCAGTCGGCCTGTTATTGCTATAAATGCAAAAACAAGTTAGACAGACTAATATGGACATACACAGGTACGTTGTAAATATTAGGATACGGTATAGATTGCTGGTCACTCATTAGAATGCATCTACCAGCGTGCAAGGTAAGACCAGCGTATGTGCTCACCCTAACCACGGAACCTTACAGACGTGGACATCAGTGCGGTAAAACAAAGAACAATTTCGAAAATATAGAAAACAATTGAAGTAGATTTATGCTGGTACTACCGATAGTTTAGGATCGAATAGTGTGTCTGAAGTCTGTTTTGAATGCAAAGCCAAAAAACAGAGAGCACAATCCAAAGAAATGCAGGTAACTTGTTTTCATAGTTTCTTGAAATTCTTGTAGATCTGGTCGAATGTTCATTTTCTCATCATAATGATTCAGTTTCTAATCCTTACTCTGTAGATAACTTCGGAATACAAACAGATAATTTCAGAGAAGATGCTAATACAGTATGAGTAATAAGACCCGAAAGATTTCAGAACAACCTCAAGGCTTAAACATGCAGAAACATTCAGCGAATGGTGGATATTAAATTTTGAGGGGGTTGTGGAGATTCGGAAATATTTCAAGTTGTTATTCATCGAAGACTGACATCAGTTGGAGGAACAAAGGAAACCTGGGAGCACTGGACAGCTGTTTCGTCCTAGTATGGGACTCCTCAGCAGTGCGCGCCCACGACCACAACCCCCTCAAAATTTAATTGAACTAGTGCTCGTTGGTGACTAGCTTCGAGAAGTATTCCCGAAGTTCCAATGACAAGTCGTGACCGGTGGAGTCAAAGCCTGATGGCCGTGAGGACAAATACTCAACGATGACATTGGGTGGCGGTTTGCGCTATATCGTGAGCTAACAGAAGTTGGAAATATGGAGCATTGGATTCTGACCCAGTGGCTCAATGGTAACGCGCTGGTCGCGGAACCTGAAGGTCGCGGGTTCGATCCCTGCTGGTGGGGTCGTGGGTGCGCACTGCTGAGGAGTCCCATACTAGGACGAAACAGCTGTCCAGCGCTCCCAGGTTTCCTTTGTTCCTCCAACTGATGTCAGTCTTCGATGAATAACAACTTGAAATGGTGGATATGCTTGGTCGCTATTCTAGTAGCTGTTCCATGTAAGTGAATATCTTTGCTAGTCTATATTTTTGTACTGGAAATACCGCGAAGGATTCCTCTGGTTATGAATTCTTAGCTTCTGTATATTTGGCAAGATAGTTCCGTTCTCGATGATTCCATTACTGACCGTAATGAAACTATCAACTGCTGTGTTTCAAAGCAACAGTTACACTCAGTCTGTGTGGCAGCAGCAAGTCTATTTTTTGAATTGAACACCCTATTCCATATACAGCTGTCACCCTGGTAGACAATGAACTGGATTGGCTTGAAAGTTTCCATGTCATATCAACAGTCGGCTTTTCTGATTGGGCTGCATCTATCGCTGTCGCCCACAAAGTCAACGGATCTATCAAGCTTCGTGTATATTACTCGGTTGGACTAAATAATGCCGTGGATCAACATCACTATCTGCTACAGTTGTCTGTTGATTTGTTTAATAGACGTCGTGATGAATTAGTATTTTCAAGAATATATTTCTCTTAGAAATCCCAGCATATGAACAGTCAAAGGACCTATCATAACCAATACGTATCATGGATCATGTCAATCCAGATGACTGCTGTTAGGTGTCGAATCGAAGCCAGGAATACTTCAACTTAATAAGGACGCAATGCTGTCAGGTTCCTGTTTCGCACTCGCACATCTCGGTAGCATCATCATCGTTTTCAGATAGCGTCATAAACACATTCCTCATATTACTTCTGTATTAAGTTGCATTAATGATTGCGTATTTAATCCAAGCTAGGAATCGTAGTTATAAAGCTGACAAATGTTGTCCCACACCTGGTCCAGAGAAAACTGAAACAGTCGCATTCATGGAAACTTCAATAAATGCTTTATGCTTCAGCCACTTCTCAGCATGATAGGTCGTTATCCGTATTTCGTCGCAAAACCGTATGAATTTCGTAGGCTTTTAAATGAGCTGCCAGGAACCGGAGTTTAGAATACCCAAAATTACTTCACGAACCTAAAAATTGCTAGCTTCTTACTTACTTTTGCCACATCATAATCCTAAGCTATTTGTTCCAGTTGCAGCTGACGCCTCATACCATGTAATCGGCGCAGTTACCTTATGTCGGCACCCAGATTGCAATCATCAGCACCCCTCGCAGTTTGAGAGCACACAAATGAGGCTATGAGTAAACTAGGGAGGAATCACTTACTGTGGTGTTTCCAGTCACAAGCTTTCATCGCATGCCTTATGATCGTTACTTCCTTCTGTAGGCCAATCATAAGCTGCTGCTCGCCATTTTTGGTTAAAAATCTGGTACCTGTGTTTACACAGACAGCCCCTTACAGCGCTAGGCTATCTCACTACCTGGGTAAGACTTCACCGGCCAGCGTATTCCTGCAGGTAAGTTCGGCCAGTGCGGCTAGTCTTTCATTTGCCATTGTTAGGAGATGCTACAGTGGCGAAACTCTCAGCCGTCGCTGGTGGTCATCACATTTTGCATACATCTGTCCACTCACCTCCCACCACGATCAGAATAATCCAGGAGACTACAGAACCTCGTATATTGCTTCAACGGGCAATTCAATTTATCCAGAAAGGTTGACCGAAATGAACTATTTCGGCAGCCACACTGCATCAGTTTACTCCACGTAGTGACTCTGTGGTGATTATAAATGGTGTGTAGTGCTTTCTTACAGGGCGGTAGTGCCTCCAGCTTTACAAAGAGTGGCATTATGTCAGCTGTATCCTTATCGTCCCGTGACAACACACATGAAGTTGTTTGGAAGCACTGACCTCTGATCGATAGGGATGTAAAAAGCCCGGTAAAGGTTCTGTGGTGGTGGCGTACAGTAACTGAAAACGCTGACAAAATCTGAATTACTTTCATGGGTATCTCCAAATAATGCTTGATCAAAAATCCATACTGACTATGCAGGACTATACATGGATGGCAACTTTCTTGCAGTCACAGGCGCCTATTTAATAGATGGCCCTAAATACTCATCACGTAGAAAAATACTTCCATAAAGCCAATGAAATTATTTGGTCACTTCGGCGTGCTGGAAATTGTCTTCTCCGATAATGGTACTCAGTTAGCATCTCACGGATTTTTGGATCTCCGCAAAGCCAACGGAATTAACCATATGCCTATACCATCAGTAACCTTGCCCTGTTTGCTAGTTCACTAGCCGGTCCCAAGCCCAGATAAAGGGGGATGGTTGGGCATAGGGCTTGGAACCCTACCACGTAAAACCAATCGAACACCTAAAGAAACTGCAAAGCACTGGGAAAAATGGAACGTACGATTGAGCTTATTCCCCACTGGAGTCAAGGGGTGAAATGACGCCGGTTGGTGAAAGCTTCCGAAAAGCCAATCGGTCGGCGTGCCTTCTCGCCCTCGATGAAGGCAAAAGTAAACATGGGGAAATGGAACTTCCGCAACATGTTTGAAGCTAACTGGAGAGGCTACCGAGATTGCTAAAGAAATGAGAAGGTACAAGAGGACTAAAGTTACCCTAGGAATGTGCGAAAGTAGATGGGGTGAAAGTGGACTGTCCAGACCTTCAACTGGAGAGTCAATAATCTACTCCGGTACTGCCATCCAGACGACAGTTACCACCCCACTGAGTGTTGGAGTGGCTATCATCATGCCCCCATGTAGTCGGAACCCATCTCGTCCAGTATCAGGATCATGACAGCAAGATTTAAACCAAAAGGAAAGAAAGTCACAATCACGCAGTGCTACGCTATGCACCTACAAATAATGCAGATGAAGAAAAGAAGGAGGAATTCCACAGACAAGACTCCAGATGGCGATGTCCATAAGTCTAATGGATGACATGAATGCCAAACCGGGAGCAGACGATAGTGAAAGAGAACAGACCATGGGTTGAGGGGCACTCGATGAAGTGATGAATGAGAGTGGAGAACTCTTCGAAGACTTCCGTGCATTTGATGATTTGGCGATTGGAGGCGGTGTGTACAGACACAAGGATATTCACAAGGCAGCGACATGGGTTTCACCAGAAACCAGGACACACTCGAAATCAGATCGACTTGATTTCAGTGTGAAGAGAGTAGAGAGGCGGCCCACTGAACACAGGATCAAGAGGAGGAGCAGGCGTAGGTTCCCGCGTCTCACTGTCTGGTGCAAGGAACTCTCACAATCAAGCTGAAAGCCTTCAGAGAAGTTTATGATAGACCGCAGTTCAAGCTCAACGCCCAGAAACTATCTGAAGGATGAAACTACAAATGGCAACTTCATGTCCGCCATCCGGACAAAACGGAGGACACTAAGCAACATCCCCCGAGGAAACCGTCATGGAAGAACACTGAAACTCTGTGAAGAGATGTGGAAGGAAACCTGAATAACCTTGTTAGGAAGGTAGAGGAAACAAGATAAGGATGGAATCTCCAAGGTCCTGCAAATGGAAGCTGATAGAGGAGGAGAGGGAGGCGGTAAAGCAGAAAATGAACCGGTGCAGTGCAGTGTAGCCGTAAGTACCAAAAAGAGGAACTGAAAGCCGCCTATGAAACACTACACTGAGAGAAATGAAGAGAAGTGCACGAAGACAAAAGACACTCCCACGACGCTAGCAAGTGAAGTAGGACAGGCCGCTGGTAGGAGAAACCTGATTTCATTATACCAAATAACCAGGTTACTATCTGTGAGGAGATCAGCATAGATGAAACCAATTAAAGATGATGAAGCAAATCTAATTACCGAAGAAGAGAAACAAAGGAAACGATGGGCTGACCACTCCAAAAAGTTCTTCAATCGACCACCTCCAACAACTGCAAATCGTTCAGAAATGCCATCAGCAACCGCAGAATTACTAGTAGACACAAGTTTTCCGACAAAGGCAGAAGTGAAGTCCTGAACGCAGTTAAGCTGCTGAAATCCGGGAAAGCAGCAGAACCGGATGGAATGCCTCCAGAAGCACCGAGAAAAGATGCAGAGACAACGGGAGAGGACATGCTCACACCACATCACTATTGCAGAAGTTTTG